CCCGCACCCGCGGCCCCCGCCGCGACCGCGGGCGGCCCTGCCGTCGTCGCTGGAGTTAGCACGGCCACAAGCAGCAACAGCGGTGTGGTTGGCGTTTCGAACGTTTTATCTGTAGCGGCAGGTGGCAACAGCGTGAGCAACAACAACGCGAGCAACGGTAGTGCGGGCAACAACACCGGCGGCAATAGTGGCAGCAATGGCAGCGGCGGCGGCGGCGGCGGCGGCGGCGTTGCTGGTAGCGGCAGTAGCAACAATGGCAGCGGCGGCGGCTGTGGCGGTACCGCGAGTGGCACTCCTTACGTCACCGTACCATCAATGCTCCGTTACATTCATTCCTATCCGCCGACCTCGGTGTCGGCGCCGGCGGTAGCGGCGGTCGTCACCACCGCACCATCGCCGGCGGCACCCGTGCCCATACCCGCGCCCGCACCTGCACCCCCTCCGAGCCAGCCGACCGTCATCGCTAGCCAAACACCACCGCCGCCGCTCACTGGGACAGCCTATACCGCGAGAGACGCGTACCGCGCCAGCACCACGAACGTAGGTATTTCCATGGCGTGAAACAGCACATATATACATATATACGTGCGCGCGCAAACACTTCCTCGTCACCTTTTCCTCGAGGTCTATCGTCTCGGCAGGGATATCCCCGATACGCGCTTGGCGTCGCGACGCATCAAACGGTCATGGTCACGCAAGCACGCCCGGAAATGAAGAGGATTCTTTCTTTTTTCTTAAGAGCACTGTAAAATTGTAATAAGTCGAGAAATAGCTATGGGAGAAGGAGAAGTTTCGTCTCGAGAAAATTGCTTCTTTTAACGCTCCTCTTGTCGCTTTAATATAAATATTTTAATATTAAGAAAATGAACGCGCATACACACGCACATATATACAAATATACGCGTATAATCACGTGTATTTCGATCCTTTTATGGATACTTTATTTTTAGAGAAAGAGGCTTATTCACTTTTATCTCGCGATTGCTTTTTACAAATTAAAGTCATTGCTGATTTGTGTGTAAATAATCTTTCTATAACATTTGAATATAATTACGTTGAAAATTATTTAATGGAGAATTTTAATTTTTCTCATTTTGAATTATTCGAAACAATCTTTAGAAAATTTGATGCCTTAAAAGTCTTGCTTTATAGTTGTTTCGTTAGAAATTGGGTCATTCGAAAGAATGATTCTTTGATTGTAACGAGCGACGATGAGCGCAACGTCGAGATGCGCGTTTTCGCAAAAAAATATCGGGATTAGAGATCCATTTTCGTAACATCGAATTCTAGAGTAATCAGAACACGCAATCACGCAACGCAGACGTATATACGCACGCCGTATCGGCCGAGTCCTCGTCCTTGACTTTCACCGATATCGGTCCTTCTCTCCTTTTTCTCTTTCCTTTAACAATACAAATCACGCGCGCTGACGCTCTGCAGTTTTAAATATCGCACGTCATTGTTAGCATAGAATTGATGAGCCGAACGATATGCTCGTTCTTGCCAGACGTTTAAATATATATATTTCACGATGACGTTACATTTCATTATGCTGACAAATTATTTTTATGATGAAACCGCACATATATATATACAATTGAAAATACGTGTTAATACAATCATAGAAAAAAACAATTTTGTCAAAAGTATATAAAAAATAGTAAGATAATATAAATAAGAGAAACGTGATATTTATTTAAATATGTATGGTATTTCTTTTAAACACGCACATATATCCAAATGGGTAGCAATTCGCGATTACGATATCACAGGGTGTCCACTTCATGGAAAAATATGGACAATTTCGAATTTCCAGATTTTTTTATACCTGGAAAAAAATTAGAAGATTCTCATGAAATTTTATTGGAACTCAGGGAATTTAAAAAAAAAAACGATTCTTTTGATCATTTTGCTCTTATATTGTAAGCAATTGGCATTCCACCGATTGGCCAAGTTGTGAATTATATATATGTATTTATTATTATTATTTAAAATATATTTTTTATAAATATATGGAATTTTGAACAAAAAAACTTGGAAAATCAGAGAATTTTCAGGGAGAATTTCCTTTTTACAACATTTGAGTGGACCATCCTGCAATTATAAAGTAGTCGTGAAAAAACTATTTCTCGTTTTTTGTAAGATTTCAAGATTTTTGGAAATTTCTTTAAGGATTTCTCGTGAAGCGTGCAATGATATTGTTGAATATCGATTATTCAATTTTTTATAAAGTTTTCCGAATTTTAAATCAAGTTAGATCCACGGCATGACATAGTTCTAACGGACATTATCATATTTAGCTCGTAACGTGATGCGAGTGGGCGGGTGAAAGTTTCAATCGCCCACTCTCGGGCTACACACGTACGCAGCGTTCTACATGTGCACGCGTAACACAATCGCATATTTTGTTTGTTTCTTACTTATATTTCGAGCCGGTTATTTAGTTGTCATGGCTTATAGAGTAATTTGTACATTACGATACAATAGGGACTATGGAGCTTAGCTTTGTGAACAACGTCCGTGACAAAGCACGACGAACGAGTGAGCCAGCATTGTGTGCGCAAAACTACTGATAGAAATAAAGAAAAGAGAAGTTCGAACAGATGATTGCGCGCGGGAGATGTAGGGGACAGTGCAGCGGTCGCGGGGATATATCGCGCGCTTTCTTGAACCGGGTCATCGATTTTCCTGAAATAGTTTCGCGGGAAGAAGGTTAGAAAGAGTGCAGCGAGAAATAAATTGAACCTCTGGCAAAGAATAAGTAAGACGACGATGAAAGAAAATAGAAACGGGTGGAGAAGAGAAAGAGAGGTAAAGAAGGATGGAGGTGGAATAAGACTTTTGACCGTGGTATTTTCTTTTCAGGTGAATGAGAGGATTGCTATCAGCGTGAGCAACAGTCCTCTGTCGCAAGTCGGTGTCGGGGTAGTGGCCGAGTACAGCGGCATGGGAACCGGTGGCAGAGGTGATCGGCCGAGGATATCCCTCTTACCGCCTACCGGCTCCTCGGTGACGCCGATACCGTCGCCAACTGCGGTCGCCGCGTCCGAGTATCAGCAGCACGCGGCGGCGGCAAGAAACCCGCCACGGGTAGGCCTCATGCCCGTCCAACCGGATCAGTATTGTACTCGCACCGCCATCGACATGGCTAGTCTGCAACAAGACACGCCGCCTTTCAAAAAGATTCGTCTGGGCCAGCCGCATCAGCAGGTCCAGCAGCTGCAATCACAGTCACAGTCGCGCTGTCAGAGCTTGTCGCCCGCGGACCCTTGCGGCGGTAAGCAGGAACAGCAGCAGCAGCAGCAGCATGTCGTGCAATTGCAGCAGCCGCTTAGGATAGATACCAGGGTGAGTGTAGCATGACAGTTATCTTGATAATTTGACAGATTATATAGTCGAAATATCTTTAGAGAGGATAAACTACAAATTGAAATAAATAAACCAATGTTGTATAAATATAAATTGGATTTTATTAAATAGGAAAAGAATAAAATAAATATAAATTAAATAAACATATTAGACACAATATGATATGACGAATTTTTGCTAGGAGCAGCCTGCCGTGGGTGCATATACGCCGCAAACGGAAGCCATTTCGCCTACTCTTCCAGAGCCGAATACACAAGAGGATGCGCTTAGAAGTACCAAGGATGAGCTCTTGCAACAAATCGGCAAAGTCGACAGAGAAATCGCCAAGAGAGAGAATCAGTTGAATATGTTGCGGAAGAGGATAAAAGAATTGGAAGAAGCAGCGAATAAGCCTCTGGAAGCGGGTGGTCTCAAACGTAATATTGAGGAGCAGTCGCAACAACCAAAGCATCAATCGTTGGCGCAAAAGATCTACGCAGAAAATAGGGTAAACTATATACACGTAATATTAATTGAACGCTTTAATTACGTTAAGCGTCAGATATTTAAGCAAAAATCAAATTTAAATGCCGCTCGCGTCTTAATGTTTTAGCACGAGTTATTTGTATTGTCAAAATTAGATTGATTAAATTAATATTTCAAGCGTTCAGAAATAGTCGATAAGAATCAATTAATGAATTTTAATTTGGCATATTCTTATTAACAGCGAAAGGCGGAAGAAGCTCATAGACTCATGGAAAAATTAGGTCCCAAGATAGAACTACCTTTATATAATCAACCGTCGGATACGAGTGTATACCAGGAGAATCGTACGCGGCATCAAACGTGTATGCGAACCAGACTCATAGCGAGGCTGCGGAGAGATCATACTGAGCGTGCGTCTCTTCATCAGCAGCAAACGCAAACGTACACAATCTTGGTTCAAGAGTGGCATCGGAAAGTAGAACGGCTGGAGGCGACGCAGAAGAGGAAATCGAAGGAAACAAAGAACCGCGAGTTCTTCGAGAAGGTGTTTCCCGAGTTGCGAAAACAAAGGGAAGACAAGGAGCGTTTCAACAGAGTTGGTGCTCGCATCAAGAGTGAAGCCGATCTTGAAGAGATAATGGATGGTCTACAGGAGCAAGAGGTATATCGCGTTACTGTTACTCTATTTATCCAAATAGTCGCAAAGTGAGCGATGCGACATGTTGCGAAAGAAAGGAAATCAAAATTATTATGGTAAGGATGAAGAAATGGTATAGGGAGTATAGGAAAAAAAAGGCACGTTACTAAAATTAGCGTTTATAAACACTTTCTGTGAAAACAACTTGAAGTGGGAACTTTAAAACATTGTTAACAGATATCTATTCAGTTTTGTTGAATCAGTGATATTAATTTATAAAAGACAAGCTGTCTTGGAATGTGCAAATTTCTTTTCTATTGTTGCCATTAGACAAAGAAGTATTGTTTATTATTTAAATAGTAGTTACTTGTCTATTTAAATATTGTTTCAGAAAATGATTTATAGATTCAACACATGTTTATAGCAAATTGATCAATATTCATTTGGCAAGTAGATTTCATTTTTCTTTACTACGATTCTTTTTTATTAAAATTTTATAAATATTTATTTTCTTAATGATTAATTATGGTGCAATAAAATATAAGATATTTGATGAAAGTATATAAATTGAATATAAATATTGGAGACATTACACATACTCAGTTTTGTTAAAATTCTTTGTACTCTTAATCTAGAGAAAAAAAATAGCATTTTACAGTTAAATAGCTAAACTTAACGTTATGACAGATTTAATTTTTGCATTATCAAATTTCTTGATATTTATGTCGAAATACATACAAGTAATATTTTACATTTTTAATACAGTAAAGAGATTAACATCATAATATTCTCTATTATTAATTTTTCTGTTAATTTGTCTTATCTCTTTTTTTCTCGTTTTTCCTAGAGCGCAATTTTGTGAAAGCGCCATTGTCACATTAAACAAATAACTAAAGGTTTGCATTATTATAATCAAAGGATGGTAACTGACAGTTTCTTCCTATCTTTAGACATTTGTTTTCTCTTTTGGTCTTCTACTGTATACGGACCAGGGAAAGGATGGCAAACTGGATAAATGGATGGAGATGATTGAAAGTTACCATCGGATGTACTAATACATATGTGGGGCAGTAAAGTCTTAATTGATTCATATTCACGATGCTCGATAGAAAAATTTTCGAAATAAAATATCTCTTTGCAAGTGGCAATGTCATATTAAAGCTGGTCTTCTTTAGAAAATTTTTATATTGCTCGATAATCTCATTTAATAATTCTCTGAAAAAGCATTGTTAGGCATTTTTATTTTTTTTTGTTTCTTTTTTCCATGTTTTCTTTTTTAATTAATTCTTGTTTTGAGATTCTTTGATGATGCTTCATGGAAGATATCTAACCTTTACTGATTCCCCAGGAAGAAACATTGCAAGATTTAAAAAATTTCATTAAAGCCTATCAGGTTAGTAACGTGCGTTTTTTTGCTCCCTTCACCCTTATCCTTCTACCATACATTAGTTATGGATATACTGCGCCATTAATTCTGCAAAAACGTGTGTTTGATCAATAAATTGAAATTATACCAGCGTAATGTAATAATAAACTGCAAGAGGAACGCATTGGATCCATAACTATTGCTGAAGATGAAAGATATTAATCTATTTTTTAAATAAAAAATTTCATTTATATACCAATATGTTTTATCAATATTTTTGAAATTAAACGGTTTTTAAGATTAAGTTAAAAAAGCTCAAAACTGAATAAAAGTTGTATGCGCAATGCATTACAAAAGTATATTGATGATGTAGTTTTTAGTAATAATGTTCTAACGAAGTAATAGATATATAATGAAACTATTATTTATGACAGTTGGAGGATAAGAAGATGCGTTCGTACGCAGTTATACCGCCTTTGCTGTTGGATGCGAAGCAACGAAGGATCGCCTTCCAAAATCGGAATGGACTGCTCCAACCGGAAGAGTTGGAAGCTCTGCACAGTGAACGTAAATTGATCAATGTATGGAGTTCTGTGGAGCACGAATCATTCAAGGAAAAATACCTTCAGCATCCTAAAAATTATGGAGTGATAGCTCAATCGTTAGAACATAAGGGCGTTCAAGATTGTGTACATCACTACTACCTCACTAAGAAAACGGAGAATTATAAACAGCTTTTACGAAAGTCGCGTCAACGGACGCGTAGTTCTCGAAATAATCCGAATAATAAAGTAAGTTTTATTATATGTAGTTATATATTATACAGTAAAATGCATGCAAAAAACGCGCGTGTTAAAATTTATATCAATTTTCAAAATATGACTCGAATGTTTATTTCTGTCGATATTGCTAAAATATAGAAAGTAAAAACTATTACACTTTTGTCTGCACTTTAAAAATACTTTAAAAAAAGATTCGTCTCTTTACTTTATAAGATAAATTATTTTGTGCTTTAGAATTTATAGTATTGTAACATAATGTTGCATATGTGTATAATTACTGCATTTAAATATGGACTATAAGCCTATTTCTATCTCTCTAAAAAATATTTAGAACTTAGAGAAAAGCATAATGCTTATCTCCAAATCTTATCTTTTGAGCAGTGCAGGTCTAAACTTACTTTTAAAGACCCAAGTTTTATTTGAGAGTTAAATCCAAATAATTGTTTACAAACATAAAGCATTTTATTCATATTATACACTTAATCACATATATTATCGATATTTAAAAATGAAGAAAAACTTATATCAAAGATATTACTATAATGAATATCATATGTAACATGTGAATTTGATATTGTTTTAGGTAAATAATACCAACTCGACTATCGGATCTATAGATATTTTAACGACAGGAGTAACGACGAGGTTACAGCGAGAGCAACAAAAGACTCAGGAGAATCCCATAGATATTTTAACGGCAGGGATAACGACGAGGTTACAGCGGGAGCAGCAACAAAAGACTCAGGAGAATCCTCAGAATAGTTCGGTAACGGCTACAACTACATCCACAACGAGTACCACGGTTACATCGAGCGTGTCGTCGACAACCGTTACGACCACGACGGTAACGACGACGACGACTCCCTTGAGCTCGACAGCATCGGGCGTTAGCGTAACGGCAGATTCTGTAACGGCATCAACGACAACGACAACGACATCAGTTTTGAACACGACAGCGTCGAGTGTCTCGGCGACATCGACGACGTCTAGCGCGAAAGATTCTAGGGAGACAAGCAAGGAGAACAAGGAAAACAAGACAGACTCAAAGGAATCTCATCTGGTAAAGATGGATTCAAAGGACGAAGCGCAATTGGAGATGGGGAAGGATATTAAAGTAATGTACGTTAAGTATGAAAACGTTGCTATCTTATATATTTTAATCAATATTTACACAATATTTAAAATGTGTCTATCGCAAACTTCTCTATAATTGTATACGTTTAACTTATGTTGATATATCAATTATATATAGCAACGTTAAAAAAATATTTATAAGTTTCAACGGATATTAGACTATTAGATTTTCGAATTGTCGAAATACTATATAGGGTGTACCAGAATCATGGGATGCGCTTTGACGCATATACGAATGCCGAATGTTGTCGCGCGAATATCGTATTCTCTTTGCTTCTTTTTTTTTTTTTTCAAGTATTTGAAGCGCGATATTGATCATTTACTCGATATGCGAGTAAGAAATAAAAGAGTTGGCGCGGCTCATTTTGCGAAACGAGCATACCAATTGGTCCCGATTCGCTATATAAAAGCGTATACGCGGACTGATTGAATGAACCGTATCCATCGGCCGGAAGATATTCATTCTGCAAACATACCCCACTCCAACGAACCAATCTCAATATTGTTCACGGTGGGAGAGACGACCCGCGAATACCCATTTAACGATTACAATACATCGCTTGGGCAGAGCACACGAATATTATAAAACTACGCACACAAAAAAAAAAAAGAGAAAAGAAAGTTTAATCTGTCTTTTTATTCTCGGTGAAACTTATTAGTTGAGATAGGTTTTACTTATCATTGGTGATCGCGCAATAGTCGAATAAAGGAGCACGTTGTTGAGGCATGGAAAGTCGGTTTGAAGAGAAACGGGTAGGGGTAATGGGAATATGCCAGGGGTGACGGGATGAAGTGAGATGGATGCGGCAGGCAGCGACGGCAGCTTGATAAGGGTGGGGGAAGATCAATTATTAGCAGATTGTAATGCTAATCAATGGTTACCGGTTAGTGGATTATGTTTACGTAGGCTCTCATCACCGTAATTGACTCGATAGTTGGAAATGTGATTCTGTCCGATGAGAATGATGATGAATGTCGAACTGCTTTTCGAGGCACAATCGACGAAATTTTATCACGATAAGATTTTTTATTATCGTAACAAAACGCTGCATTTTTTTTTCTTGAAGAATAAAAATACGATTGAAATAAAAGAGAAAGAGAGGAAGCTTAATAGATTATATTATTTAATAATTTATATACAATTTAATAATATTCTATTACAGAATGGAAGGAAAAGGCGCGCTGTCTTCATCCGCTTCCTCGTTGAATATCAATGCGACGAATGTCTCAACTATCCAGTCGGACTTTAAGGAATCTAGTAAGAAGAAACCAGGTTGCAGGGACACAAGTGGCAGTGGTGCTAACGTTGCAACCAGTAGTAGAATAAAGGATAAGAAGAAGGAGAATCATACTCCCATGGAGACCAGTGACGAAGAGGCACCGTCGATCGACATCATCGGTAAGTCTTGAACCGATTGATATTCTCGGTCTTTATTTCGCATCACTTCTTTGCTACAGTCTACGCTTGAATCTCGTTTCCACGATTCGATTTTTACTGTTTCCTCCTAATGCTTTCCAAATATTTGAATTAATATACGATTTCCATTTGTACGAATTATCCTAATATTATAATAAGAATTAGGTTGATAATATTAAAGTTAAAAAAAGTTACTTTAATATTATCGAAATTATTCCGGTTTTCAAAAGGTTGATATAATATATAGAGACAATGCGAAATAGTATTTTATATTATTGATATACTTTCGGAAAAACATCGCCGCACATAATCTGGCTTATCGTGGCTTATTTTTGTAAAATTTGAAGAACACTTTTTTAACATGTATATTGATATATTTGATATTAGAGATTTGCGGTTAATTAAATCCAAGAGAATCTATACGCGATATATATACATTATTGAAGTATAAAACTCGATCCAATAAGACTGAAATTTTTTCTATGCGAAACGAATGAAAAACAGCAACGAGTTAACGTTTAATCTTAGGTCTAAATTTAAACTTAACATTTAAGTATAACTCGTGTACGTGCAGTTCCATTTTACATGGAGAAATTAGCGTTTCTTTTTATTCGTGTCGTAGCTATCGTTTTTCTCACAGTTAAACTGTTGTGCAATGTATTGAAAATTTGGTTACATCAGCTACATAATTACGTCAGACTTCTATTCTTATTTTATACAGTTTGTTGATACACGAAATACATGTACCAACGCATTAAATATTGCGGTGTGTGTGTTCTAACATCGAGATATATATATATATATAACGTTAAAGAACATACATGAGGAGAGAGAGAGGATTAATTATTATATATTTAAATATAAATTAATAGTTGTATAAATTTTCTTTTCAATGTTGTTAGGGGAAGCTTGTTTTCTAGGCTAATCAGTTTATACAATTCTGAGGTAATTTGAGAATGTGCTTTATGATTATGGATGTTAAGGATAATATCTGTTATTTATATTACATTCTACAATAGTCCGATTTTTAATTCTCGATCTATTTTATTTGCAATTATATATTTGACACGCTAATATCGATACTTCGTGTCCCATTTGTTGTTGAAGTGTCATTGTTCTTGCGATATTCCGTCCACGGATATTTGCGTTGAAAAAAGAGGAGGGGAAAATCTGAAAACAATAGAATTATATTAGAACAAAAGTATTGTCAGTATTATCACATGTAATATATATCTTTTATATATGTATAGTACGCGTTTTATACGGAATGTTCGTAAAATTTAGAGAGTATAAAGAAAAGATTAATAATATATTTTTTTTATATTAATTATTATAAATATACACAAAATGATTTTTCAATTTTAACATTAAAGGAGAGTATTTAAATCCGATATAGTTAAATTATAACGTTAATATTTTTTAATTTGTTTCTAACAATGCTTATCTCTCAATGAAACGATACCGAGATTAGATGACATTAACAAATAATCGTGGACATAAATATTGTCTCAATACCTATCTCAATATCTATCCGGAGCGATAAGAGAAATCGCGCCTTCTCGTTTCACGGAGCACCCTGAGGGGATGACGCATTCACGTCGCGACTCGACGCGTTCGTTCCGTCGGTGACGACTTGTCTCTCCTCGTCGTTCGCATGGCATAGCTTGCGATGTTTGTGCACGAAGTAATAACTCGGGAACTTGCAGCCGCAGATCTTGCAGGGATAATATTGTACGTTCAGATCCAACAATTTGACCTCCCGTCTGTTCCCACGCGCGGCCGCAGCGGCTACAGCTGCGGCTTCCTGTCTTGAGCCGCTGTCGCCGCTGTCACTGGTCGTCTCGGTAATCCTCGTCGGTGGTAACAAGTGTCGCTTCGCGTGCTTCCTGTAGCAATATTGCGACTTGAAGGTATGCTTGCAATAGCCACAAGTATAGCAACCGCCGTTATTGGCACTGTTGGCATCGTTGCTCGAGTCGTTGTTGGGACTGCGCGCGAGACCGTCGCCGGTTTGTTCGCTCGCCGGTCCACCGTTCTCCTCGTTTTCGCTCGACGGATCCTCACTTTCTATCATCAATTGACAGTTCCTCTGCGGACGTGTCTGCGCGCCGTGCGATGACGTTGCCGATGAATAGTTCTCGTTCAAGACTCGGTGAAAGCGCACCGGTCCGTCGCAGCACGCGATGTCGTATATCACGGAGAAGACGGTACTCGACGAGGAAGCGGTCTCTCTCGTGGCCGAGGTCCGTGCTCGGCGACGAGATGAACGCGCTCGATCGTCTCGTTCCGACGATATCGCGGCGTTTCCGTGGTTGATTCGATTGCGATTTGATGTCCCATCTTGGGACGAGTCTGATCGACGTTGCTGATCGGCGGTTTGAGATCTGACGGAAACCTCGGCTTCTCGTTGAGCCTCGTCGCGATCCGTCGTTGAATTGTCGTCGTCGCGGTGATGCGCAGGCGAGTGCGTCCGCGACACGGAGGCCGGCGAGATCGAGCGCGACGGCGATGACGTTCTTGTCGTGGAATTCGCTGTGCTGTTCGTCACGGTGAAGGCGGTGAACGCGGCCGCGGCAGCTGCCACGAACGGCAGGGTTGTTACAGTAGACACGATCTCCGGTGTTCTCGATCTGCTGGAGCCCGGTCTCGGGCGTTTATGTTTATGCAAAGTCGGCGACGTCGGCGGCGACTTCGGCATCTCACTGGTGCTGCAAACATTCACGCGTATTTTTCTACCTATTAATCTTGAAACTTTGAAATATTTTTTCTAATATTTTTGTATAAAAGATTATTATTATTATTATATTGTTATTTATTTTTGTCACATTACAGCTGTTAGTTATGATTACGACGTTTCTCGAAATTATGATAATGTGAATCGCTGTTATTAAATGTGCACTTTTGTCTTTATCAACAAAGCCAAAGATAATTTGGATAATTTATTTAAATTTATAATTAACTTTCTCAGTTCTTTTATCTCTTTTTTTTTTAAATAAATTATATTTTCTTCCAAAACTATAAATGAAAATTTTGGTGCTATATACTCAAATCTCATTGTATTGAAAAATCTTGAAGCAGCTAGTTGAATGATTCTATTAATAAACAGAAAAAGGAAAACTATGTATTATTTTCAAAGCAATGTAATTTAGATGCTATTATTTTTTTCTAAATAATTAATAATAATATTTGGATTAAAATACAATAAGCTGTCATAATTAAATAAAAATTCGTGGATCATTATTGATAATGAAAATAATACACAATATACATATATAAAAAATCTTATAAATATAAACCTTATAAGATTTATAATCTTTTATTAATTTTATTGCTTAAAGATTTTGTATAGAATCTCCAGAATAGAGTTTAAATCTCTTTTTGATTTTTATACACTTTCTCAAGAGCATAAATTTTTGGACTAAAATCGCGTGAAAAAGAAAAACATTTCATTTTTTTACTGCCAACCTATAATGCGCGCACTGCTCCTGCTTCTCTCTCGGAGCGATGATGCTGGACGTCACGGTCGTCGATCGCATCAACGGCTGCATCGACGGCGGCAGATGATGCGACATGGCCGCTGACGCTGGCGAATATGCGAGCGGGGTCGTCGGGGGCCAGCAGAGAGGCGGGCCCACCACCAGACGATTAGGTATGGGCCGCAGTATGCTGGTCCCCCCGATCTGCGGCGAGCCGGCTGTCGTCGTCGACGACGTCGCGGACGTCGCCAACGGCGGAGGCGGCGGCGGTGGTGCCCGCAGCCTCAGCAACGCGGCCCGGCACTGTTCCAAGGCACCCGGCATGTGCAACAGATGCGTCGCCAGTAACACGCTGTAAACGTTGTCCAGCGTCACCTCCAACCGCCCGGTGTACATGTAGTTGAGCAGCGGGGCGAACGCCTCTCCACCTGCCATCGGATTGGGAGACGATTCGTTAATTGTTCGAGATCAAGCGTGAATTAACACATAGGGTGTCTACTCCCTAGAAAAACATGGAAAACTTAGAATTGTCAGGGATTTCTTTTGTATCTGGAAAAATTAGCAAATTTTCATGGAATTTTATTAGGACTCGGGGAATATTTTAAAAAACTCTTTCTCTCTTTGATAATTTTATATATTCAATGTTTTAACAAAATATTGAATATGCAGTATATTTTTTTATTATAATTTTTAATGATAAATAAATGAAAATGTTTTGCAAGTGGAAAATATTTACTTGACAAAAGCTATTTAATTTTTTTCAATCACATGCAATAAAAAAACTTATTTTAGAAAGTTGCATCAAAAAATCTTTAAAATATTCCCTTTATTTGGAATTTTGAACAAAAATACTTGGAAGATCAGGACATTTCCAGAGAATTTTTTACAAGATTTTAGTAGAGATATCCCTGATACATACTTAATGAGTAGTTTTTTCATTCGTTTTATTTAAGGAATCCGAAAGAGAGAAAGAGAGAGACTAGTCTCTCGCATACAGTTTTCTTTTATTGTTAAAATATGGCTTTTAACCTGATCTAATACCGAGCCGGAAGATAATCGTATGATTTTTCGAGAATACTTGAAAAAAATTAATAGTCGGCAGATAGCCGATAGTTGTTTATGATTGGAACTTGAATCACACAATTAGCGAATCAAAATAGATAGCTATAGATTACTTTACAAATATAATATTTATGCATTATGCATAATAGATTTTTTTTCGAATTACTATATTAGATGGAAAAATTATGATTACAATGCGTTTTGTTTCGAAAACTGCAAATGTAGACTTACCACCGTTTGTAAATCCGGTTCAATTATCAGATTGAATCGGATAATTATTGGAAAATCCCAATGAGAGATTGGAAGTAGCGGTGGCATACTGCACGACCGATAAAAGTTTGTTAATTATTCCGTATCGCCATTGGCTTGATTGATATTATTTGAAAGCAGTTTTTGGAAATTGTCATTTTTTTTTTTTCAAAACAAGATCTGAATTCTGCATCT